CAGTACTTGGGAATCGTGGCCCTCACTCTCTACCTGAAGAACAGTCTTGTACCTGGACGGCAAATGGCCCTCCCCCTTTGACCTGGGGACATTGCAATAACTGGGGAATATGGCCACTAATCATTGGTTCTCTCTTTCTCTCTAATCACACCACAATCACAGTACCATATTCATCACTTTCTGGCTCTTTGCCAATCCATCTGCCTTCTGTATCCAACTCTCCCCTGTGCTTCTCTTTAATGTCTATGTTTACACATGTTCAATCATTCTCTTATTCTAACCCTTGCAACCTCAATTGTTACTTCTCTTGTCTGTCTTCCTTCACACTATCCTGCTATATCTCACACTAACTCTTTGCTAAATGTATCCCCCTATCCTGGTCATTCTACCTTCCATTTACTTCTCTTGATCGATCTATATCTTCCTGTACCTCTATCAACCTCTCCATATCCCTTTCTAAAGCATTGCTCTATTTCTTTTCGCCCCTTCTAACCCACATCCTCTTTGCAATTTTTCTGTATCTTGGGACTATCTTTATCCCTCTCTGACCACCACCTTAATCCTTCTTTCATTATCCCTGTCTCTCCAACACTTCAGTTGCTTGCCCTCTTGTCCCCTTTTTCTCATCCTCTGTCCCTCTAGTCCTATTCTCTCACTTTGTTCCTCACTCATTCCCTCTGCATTTCTTTCCTTCCTTCTCTCTCTCTCTATTCATTTCCCTCTCAATCTCTCCATTTATCATTCTCATACTTTTTGATTTATTTCTCATTTTCTTTGTCTCTTTCCTTCCCTCTGTATTTCTTTTCTTCCCACACTCTATTCCTTTCCCTCTCTATCATTCTCAAATTTTCCATTGACTTCTCTCTCATTTTCTTTATCCATTCCTCTGCCTAATTCTGTTATTTTCTCTCTCGTTCTTTCTGTTCTTGTCTCTCTTCCTTTATTTCTTTCAGTCCTATTCCTTCCCCACTCTCTCTCTCTCAGTCCTTCCCCACCCCTCCCATCCCTTTCTCTCTCTCTCTCTCTCACACACACTCCCTCCCTCTCTCTCTCTCTCTCCGCCAGTCCGTTGCCTCACTCTCTCTCACACACACACTCCCTCTCTCTCTCACACACACACTCCCTCCCTCTCTCTCTCCGCCAGTCCGTTGCCTCACTCACTCTCTCACACACACACTCCCTCTCTCTCTCCGCCAGTCCGTTGCCTCACTCACTCTCTCACACACACACTCCCTCTCTCTCTCACACACACACTCCCTCCCTCTCTCTCTCCGCCTGTCCGTTGCCTCACTCACTCTCTCTCTCTCTCCGCCTGTCCGTTGCCTCACTCTCTCTCTCTCTCAGGGACCCGGTGCCGGTCGCTGCGGCCTCTCCGGGCCTCGGGGATTGTGCCGCCCGCCGCGTGTCTCTCTCTCTGTCCGGCCCCCGGCCCCCACTGCCGCAGGGCTCGAGGCCTCGGGCTTTCGGCGGAGCTCGGTCACCGCGGCGCCGGGGCTCGGCGAGCGGAGGAGCCCGGGAGGAGAGGCCGAGGCTCAGGAGTAAGTACAGGCCGAGGGGGAGGGGATTGGGATTGGGATTGGGA